CATCAAAGAAAAAAAAAAATAATTTTTGGTTTGCTCGTTTCTATGCGGTCACTCAAATGGAGTGAAATGGAATTTTGGTGCGAATAGAAATCAAAGTTTTCGCTAACGGTCACAATGAGAGTGGTTATTTGAACACTGCAAGAGCCTACCCTTGTAAGAGATACGCACAAGTAAATGATATCGACACAGCGGTGTCAAAGTAATAATTGCACAAATTAATGTCCCTATTGAGGAAATTGAAATAATTTAAAGAATTTCAAAGCCCTTTAATGTATTTAATCATCATATAATTGTGAATATATTAATTAATTATATGAACAAAATGGAACTTTGCTACAAAAATATTTGATCGACTGTCCCACTCATCTTAAAGAATGAACTGTTTCAAAAGGAGCATAATTAAATAAATTTTTATAGAATTTTGACAAAAAAGAGCAATAAATTGATTTCTGTTTTAAATGTATTTGGAATATTCCTTTGGACTGTCTCCGTTTAGAGAAGATTAAGTCACATCATCAATTGCCTCAAAATACATTTCGTCTCTACGTCAAGTACACCTCAGATTGATCCCTAGTTGAACGTAACATTTATAAAAACGTAAACATTTTCCTGAATTTATCAAATATAAGGACTGGTTCGAAGTGAAAGATTATTTTCCCATTTTTTAAAAAATAAAATTGTGGAAAAATATATTTTTCTGAATTATAAGAAATTCAATTAACTACGTCTTAAAACTGTCCCTACCGGCGGGCAGAATCGCAATATATATTTTTATTTAAAATTTAATATTTGCCTAACTGACTCGAAGCGTCATGGGTGTAATGGAAGATTTTTTAATTCAGTGTGAAGAAATAATTTCATACGAACAGCAACTAAAGGAGACCAATTTGAAAGAATACAACGATATGGCCCTAGAGGCAGAAAAGCTGGAAGTTGAAAGCTTATGGGGAGATTGGAAAGCTTCGTACAAAAAATGTATTTCTGATTTGGATTATCAGAAAAAGGACAAAATTACAGTAAAGAACAAAAAAAATAGAAACTCATAAGAGCTATATGCGATGTCTTACTCTTATTGGAGACGCCAAAGAAACAATGAAAACTTCAAGTTTAAAACCAACTCAGAAAGTCAGCTCCTCAATTTCGGTCCCACCATGTGATACAGAGGTATTTCATGGAGATTATTTAAATTGGCCCAGTTTTCGGGATTTGTTCACTGCAATTTATGTAAACAATAAAAAACTTAGTCCGGTAGAAAAATTGTACCATCTTTTTCAAAAGACAAGTGGGGAAGCGAGACAGATAAATCAGCATATTCCTCTTACTGATGAAGGTTTTGATATTGCGTGGGATAATCTGAAGCACCAATATGAAAATAAGCGAATTCTTATAAATAATCAATTGCGTACAATTTTTAATCTTTCACAATGCTCCCAAGAATCAGCAAGCGCTCTAAAAAAGTTACAAAGGGAGATAAACAATGCTATTTCTGTCTTAAAGTTATACCAATAGACATTCGATCATGGGATCCAATTTTTGTATTTCAATGCTCGTCAAAATTGCCGAAACTAACATTATCCCTTTGGGAACAGTCGATTGCCAAGAAGACGGAAATGCCATCCTGGGAAGAACTTAATATATTTTTAACAGAAAGATTTCAAGCACTAGAGAGTGTCTCTGACATATATGGTCCGCACAGTTCACGGTCTAATCTGCCCCAGCAGCAGAAATTTCACAACTTTGAAAGATCAAAAAACTATAAAGTCCACCATACAAAAGTCACAATTCGAAATGTAAATTGTGTAGGGGAAATCATATTTTGCGATCTTGTCCCAGATTTTTAAGTATGGACTTTAAAAATAGATTGTCTATAGTAAAACGCGACAAACACTGCCTCAATTGCTTATCTTACGGTCACGTGGTAGCAGATTGTACAAGCGAAAAATCCTGCTCCGAGTGCAATTCGAAGCATCATACGCTTCTGCACAGGTCAAATGTTTCCCAACCAGAGAAGAAGTCAAGAGATTGTTTGAGGTCTCAATCCTGCCAAACGGCGAATCTACAGTCCACAGAGAGACCTTCTTCGCCTGAAAATATACGTACATACCATACTTCTGTAGCAAGTAAGACAATGCTGGCCACTGCTTGGGTGACAATTGTCCAAGATGGTACATGTCACAAAGTTAGAGCTCTTATCGATCCCTGTTCGGATGATTCGTTTGTGTCATCAAGGATACAAAAGCTCTTTAATCTTCCTACAATGCCAATTGCGGCAGAAATTAGCGGTCTCGGCGGCGAATGCCTAGCGAGATGCTCTAAAGTAGCAATCTTACTATATCGTCCGTTGTAACTCCTTCTTTTTCGTTGGAAATTGATGCGTTAGTTGTCCCTGACGTCACTGGAAATGTTCCCACACATTCTTTCAACTACGTAGAAAGAAACAAATTGCCAAACTTAAGATTTGCGGATCCTGAATTTTATATGAGTGGCCCAATTGATATCCTCATAGGAGGAAATTTATACCCACTGATTCTGCTCGGCGGAGTAGAACATGGGATATTAGGATCGTTAGTAGCCCAGGAAACGGTTTTTGGATGGATCGTAACTGGCCCTGCGAATAATAGAGTCGCAAAACAATCATTAAGATTATCTCATTGTACGAGAGTGTCTATCGACAAACAATTAGCCCGTTTCTGGGAAATTGAAGAAATTCCCACGAAAACAACTGTATCTGAAGAAGATAAAATATGCGAAAACATATATAAGACCACGGTGAAAAGAAACTCTGATGGTAGATATACTGTTGATTTGCCCTTCAAATTAGAAGAGCCGTCAAAATCAGCTCTTAATTCGAATAGATATGTGGCTCTTTGTCAGTTTCTACGAAACGAACAGTCAATGTTAAAAAACCTGAATTTAATTCAATGTATGACGAGGTCATACAAGAATATCTGTCCCTTGGGCACTTGGAATTAATAAAAGCGCCAACGTCAAATTTGGAACCTTGCTTTTATTTACCCCATCATGGTATATACAACCTGAAAGTATCACAACAAAGCTCAGAGTTGTTTTTAATGGATCATGCCCTACGTCAACTGGTAAAAGTCTAAATGATTTGCTTTATGTAGGCCCCATCCTACAAAAAGACATTACTACCCTCATATTGAATTGGCGTCTGTACAAGTTTGTCTGCATTGAAGACAAAATGTATAGACAAATACAGATAAATCCTAATCACGCCACTTTCCAACGAATCGTATATCGTTCTTCTCCTGATGAGGAAATCGAGGATTATCAGCTAAAGACTGTAACTTTCGGTCTCAACTGTGCCCCATATCTGGCACTACGGACTTTATTACAACTGGCCCAAGATGAGGAACATAGGTTCCCAATAGGAGCAAAGATATTAAGAGAGAACATGTATGTAGACGATGCTCTTGTAGGCGTACACTCGATCCCTGAAGGAATTGCTGCAAAACAGCAGCTAATAGACATTTTGAAATCAGCGGGATTCCATCTGCGAAAATGGACATCTAATTGTAAAAAACTTATTGAAGATGTACCACGAGACCATCTTCTCAATGGAGAATTCCTGGATTTTGATGATAAAAGCATAGCAAAGACGCTTGGAATCCGATGGAATGCAGCTAACGACACATTTTACTTTGTAACAGAAAAAATAGCAAACAAACAGTCGTTTACAAAAAGAGAAGTTTTGTCGGTAATAGCCCGACTTTTTGACCCTTTGGGGTGGCTTGCACCTGTTATAGTAACAGCAAAAATAATTATGCAACAACTTTGGTTGGATGAAATACAATGGGATGATCAACTGAAACCGCTTGCCCTGAATAGGTGGAAAACATTTTAGATAGTTATTTCGATATTGACAAAATTCAAATACCCCGATGGGTGAAATATTCGCCAGAGTGCACAATAGAAAACATGGATTTTGCGATTCCTCAGAATTAGCCTATGCAGCGGTTCTGTATGCCCGAATAAAGATAGGAAATTCTGTTGCCTCAAATTTATTGGTTTCAAAATCGAAAGTTGCCCCAATTAGGAAGCAGTCTTTGCCCCGACTAGAGCTTTGTGGCGCTCTTTTACTGGCTAATTTGGCTCACGCTGTTCTTCCGCAGCTGAGTATTAAAAATCACACTTTACGCCTTTGGTCGGACTCAACAATAGTCCTAGCGTGGCTTAAGAAAACCATCACACACGTGGACAACCTTTGTTGCAAATAGGGTTGAAAAAATTCAAGAGAAAGTAGGAAATAATTGGAACCATGTTGCAACACATGACAACCCTGCAGACCTAGCAACCCGGGGGGTGACTCCTTCAGAATTGAAAGAGAGAAGTCTGTGGTGGTTTGGACCAAGTTGGCTCCAAAAAGAAGAGAAATCCTGGCCTTCATATCTTAGTATTCCGGAAATTAATCTGGAAATGAAAACGTCTCAAACACATGTAGCTAGATCTGCGGATGTCAAACACACTGAAATGCACTTGCAACATTTACATAATTATACAATGGCAATACATGTATTTGGATATATTGAAAGGTTCATAAAAGCCAATCATTCTGCCACGAAAAAGACCTATACATATAGAAGCCAAAACCTATCATCTGCGGAACTATCCGCTGGACGAAATCGACTTATTAGGTTATCGCAAATGAGATACTTCCCGAGGAATACGAAGCTCTATCCCAAAAAAGACCTTTACATCGGAAAAGCCCACTTCTCACGCTCACACCCTTTATGGACAAGATAAGATTATTCGTGCTAATGGGAGATTAGGATCAACCCTTTTCATTGACTTATAGTGAAAGACACCCAATTATTCTGTCCCCGAGCAGTAAACTCACAAAACTTTATGTATCTTTCATACACGAGATGACGTTACACGGCGGACCCCAGTTGATGATGGCAACTATTCGTCTAGAATCCTGGATCATTCGAGGAAAGAATTTGATAAAAACACACATACATAACTGCGTTAAATGCGTAATGGCTCGGAAGAAGCTAGAAAGACAATTAATGTCAGCTCTTCCCCCAGAAAGGGTAACCCTAAGTCGCCCCTTTGCCAACACTGGTGTCGACTTCGCCGGGCCATTTGAGCTGAAAACCTATTCTGGTCGCGGGTGCCGCATTGTTAAAGGATACATCTGTCTGTTTGTCTGCTTCGCTACTAAAGCGATTCATCTAGAAGCAGTAAGCGATCTCTCTACTCCGGCATTTATGGCAGCATTAACCCGATTTATTTCTCGTCGAGGCTGTCCCAATAAAATATTTTCTGACAATGGTCGTAATTTCGTCGGTGCTGCTCGAGAGATTAAGGCAAACTTTAAAAGAACCGTCTTGGAGTTGAAAGATAAAGCCATATCACAATACGGCCAACAACAACTTGAATGGCATTTTATACCAGCTGCTGCCCCACATATGGGAGGTTTATGGGAGGCGGGTGTTAAAAGTTGTAAAACTCACCTGAAAAAGATTGCTGGTCAAATACATTATACCTACGAGGAATTTAGTACAATGTTAGCAGCCATTGAGGCCTGTCTAAATTCACGCCCATTGACCCCACAATCGGAAAATATCGACGATCTAACTGCTCTTACGCCTGGCCATTTTCTGATTGGCTCATCCTTACTGTCCCCTGCCGAACCAGAAGAAATTCCTACCAAAACATCTTTGCTAAACCGATGGCGGAAATTAAAAGTTATTCAGCAGGAGTTCTGCCGTCGATGGAAATCCGACTACTTGAAAGAACTCCACAAAGGAACAAATGGAAACAGCCATCACAAAATCTAAAAGTAAATGACTTAGTTGTTCTGTCACAGGAGATGGGTAGTCCAAATGAATGGCGTTTGGGGCGTGTAGCAAAGGTGTATCCTGGCCCGGATGGGCACGTTAGGGTAGTCGACTTAAAGACGACAACGGGCTTGATAAAACGTCCCGTACATAAAGTGGTCTTACTACCTAGCTCGCAGTAACTACAAAAAAAATTCCTACCCCAATCCTTCACTCCCTAACAACCAACTGTGTTATTAAATTTAAACTAATTAACTTTATATCTCTCTCAGAAAATGTTCCCTTACATGGAGGAATATCGCTGCCTTCTTTGCGCAACCCGACACTCACTCAGACTGTGCCGGCGCTTCTTGGTTCTCCATCCACGGGAAAAAATGAGGTATGTGCGTCAGAATAAGGCTTGTGTTAACTGCCTGGGGCTATCACACAGCTTGGAGGATTGTCGTAGCCCTGAAGTGTGTCGTGTCTGTTGGCGTAGGCATCATACCCTTTTACACGAGCTTGATGACTCTAAATATCAGTGGCTTCAAATGACAGCCCAAGCTCTGGTACATCGTCCTGGGGTTGATGACGAGAAACACATCGTCCGAATATACTAAGTCCGAATTGCAGTGAGAGCTACATTGCACCACCATATCAAAGGTTACCTTTTCCAACAGACTACGACATTCCTGACTACGAGTTGCAATTTACCGATAGACACAGCGAGGTTCGAACACTCACCATAAAGCTTAAAACAAGCCATGATGGACGCCTAGAAACGCCAAAAGCCCATTGCCTTCCAGGAGAAGTGTGGAAAAAATACGATGTCGAAGATGTAGCTGACACTTCTTTCTACCTTCCATGGGGTTGCTCCATAGTATTGGGGAAAGATGTCTCGAAACATATCTACCTGGGCTTACCTCAAGAGCAGAAAGGTCTCCCTTACATGCAGAATACCATTTTTGGTTATGCCTTTTTTGGTGCGAACGTTTATGGAGCAAAATACTATTTAACTAAATCATCGTGAGCTGGCATAATTGGAATTTGTTGTAATCATAAGTATATTGATTATTTTTTTTCTGTCCCCTACTGGGCTTTTGAACTTAAGCTTTAATCTATATTTAGTCTGCCCCGGTGGGCGTTTTGAATTCTATGAATTTTATTTATTTTTTATATTATTATTATTCCTTTTGTTTTGAACTAATCGTTCAAAGGGGGCGGCATGTTCACGTACGCAAGGATTAGTTTCCTCCGTGTATAAAGGACTAATCTCATCTCTGCGTACGTGCACGATTTGATGTGCCATCACTGACAATCGATGTCAGTTCTCGACCTTTTCCTTTTGTTTAGTTTTTCTTTTTTCTGGATCAACAGAGTTTGTTGATCACCGTAAGAGACGGTCGTGTTTTGCTACAACGTAAATTTAACAAATCAATAAATTGTGAAATCTTGAATTGCCAAATAAAAAGTGTGGTTTTTTTTTTTTATTAAAAAAAAAGGAAATTTTGGAACAACTCTAGTTTAATTTTTTACTGCCCCGACGAGGCCTGTGAGTTTGATTTTTCGGTCCCGATTGGACGACACTAAACCCCAGTATACCTGTGACATACCTAAAGTGTGGATCGGGTATCCTGTTGCCGCAGAAAGTTAGTTGAGTGACACTAACAA